CTGGACTGTCATTTTGAAACTCTCTGTGAAAGCCTTGACAGATAGAGGTTTTGACAGGCACTGGACATTGGCAGCAATTCTGAATAAGCCGTGTACATTTCTGCAGGTGAAGTGACAAAATGTCTAAAAGCGTCAGAGGAGCTGAGCAGGCTTCGATCATATCTAATATTCCAAAGCAAGCCTCTATTTATGTTCTGTGTTCCAACATTGTGGGATGGCTAAGATTGAAAATTCTGCCAGAACCTGTGATGAGAGAGCTTTGGCTAATTTACGAGTAGCTATGATACTGAGAACACTGGAGCAGATCACGAAGCCGTTTATATTCTTACCCAATGGCTGGTGGCAATGACCACACAAAGAATGTGATAAGAATCCCCAAAACTATAACACACCATCCTGCATTTCCGGTTTGAGAAATTCCACTAGATGCAAGCCGCTTTCTCATGCTGTCTTTTGAGTCCATGGCCCAGAGTTCCAATAAGAGAAACTTTGTTGGTTCCAGTTTCACTTGAGGACAAGCACTTCCTTTTTTAGATGTGACACTGACTGCCCTCCTTTGTCTACCCTATCAAGGGCCAAAGAGCACATAAACATTGTCTGCAACTGGATTTGTTGTTCTTTTCATATAATTATTTGAGGTCTGCACTCACACAAGAAACAGCTGTTGAAAGTTGAGTGGGATGGAAAACGGCACAGCCTGGAGATGTTCTTGTTCACTCAGTCAGCTCCCTCCTGATGTGATCCCTGCTGGCAGGGTTGGGTGGTGACTACAGCTTCTTTGACAGCTATCAGCACTCCTGACCAGTGGTTTGGGGTTTTTTAGTGAGGGAAAAGAAGAGTAGGAAAGAATTGAGTTAGTTCAGGGTTTTTTTTTCCCTGCTGCTAGAGCAAAGCTTCTGCCAACAGCCATCGAAATCAACACCATGCCTCCTTGCTCTGCTGACCCAGGTCACCCCAACATCTGGCACCACTGTCTGCTACTTTCAGGCTCGTCACTGGGCAGTATCTGCTGTGAATTCTTTCTCAAACTCTTTTTGAATTGTCTGACAGTAAAACCAAGCTTCTTTTACCCAATGAGTGTTGAGATTTTTTTTTTTAAAGAGGATATTGGGAATGGTAGGATTTCTTTCTTCCTTCTCCATTTTAACTGTTTTAGTAAAATGTGCTATTGTATTTGGCACAGACATGTGGGCTGAGGTGGATCCTC